CAAATTTCCCCCGTTAAAGCACCAGCGAGGATGAAAGGACCGGGGCAGCGAGGAGGAGGACGAGGAGGAGGAGGGAGGGGGCAGCGAGGAGGAGGAGGAGGAGGGAGGGGCCAGCAGCAGCAGCAGCGCCCACTTGACAGCGCGCTCCTCCTCCCACTTTGCCGGCGTTGGCTCGCGCCCCGACGTCAACGCGCTGTTGCAACAGCGCGCGCAGGCGGTCGGACGGCAAGCGGTCGGACGGCAAGCGGTCGGACGGCGTGGTGCAGCGCGGGCGCAGCCAGGATTCGAGAACCTCTACATCCAAGGCCTGACTTCGACCCGCAACTTCCAGACCAGTGCGGGCGCCGAGGCGTTGCGGGCGACGGACATGCTGCTCCAACACGTGCAGGGCAACGTCGACGTGGTGGACCTGCAGGCGCTCGGTGCGGGCAGAGCCCCCCGACAGAGCAGAGGAGCCCGACAGCTCGCTCAATCCATCCTCCGCGACATCGGGAAGTGGGAGCGGGAGCGGGGGCGAGGAGCAGCTGTGCCCCAGCCGGCGCCAGCACGCGTGGTGACGCACGCCACCGTGGAAGCGATGGAGGCCGCTGGCGTCGGGCGACAGCTCCACAGTCAGCTGCGGCGCTTCCTGAAGCAGCTCGCGCTGGACGTCTCGAGTGACGACGGCACGGCCGTCTCCGTGATCGACGGCGAGAGGGGCACCATCTGCGTGTGGGACGGGGAGCGCGGGCTCAGGCTGCGGTCGGAAAGGGCCGTCCAGATGAGGACCAAATTGAGAGAGCGTGTACGGGGTGGCGAGCACGGGTGGCCGTGGGAGACGAGCGTCTGCCCCGTGTGCAAGGGTCTGTGCGTCGCGCTCACGGTGGGCTGCCGCAACGCAGAGGGCATGTGTGGCAACGCGGAGGGCATCGCAGAGGGCATCGCAGAGGGCGGGCGTGCTTGTGTGGAGAGACAACGGGGCAACGAGAGCAACGAGAGCAACGTGTGTGAGAGGGCAGAGGGCCGCAGAGGGGGTGTGTGAGAGGGCAGAGGGCCGCAGAGGGGGTGTGTGAGAGGGCAGAGGGCCGCAGAGGGGGTGTGTGAGAGGGCAGAGGGCCGCAGAGGGGGTGTGTGAGAGGGCAGAGGGCGCCAGAGGGCGTGTAAGAATGCCGTGTCAGAATGCCGTGTCGGAGCGACGTGTGAGAATGCCGCCGTGTCGGAGGGCGCCGTGTGGGAGGCGCCGTGTGGGAGGCGGATAACATAACGCCGCGCGTGAGTGAGTGACGAGAGGAGGATAGCGCCCTGCGTGTGAGAGCTGAGGAGGATACCCAGGCCGCGTCACACTTAATAATAATATCATATAGAAGGCGAGGCTCGACGAATGGCGCGCCCTAGTGTGCGCGCCTCTTTTCACACAGCCGCGCCTCTTTTCACACAGCCGTCACCGCAGTGCGCGCAAACCTTTTGTCATCTCGTGAATCATATCGCCGCGTATATCGCCCAAAGACTACTAGGGTATCGCCTAAGACTATGCATCAGCGCGAGCGGGAAGCGCTGCGGGGCCTGCAGCTTCGGCTTTATCGTGGCCAATCGCGACGAGCCGCACGGCCCCCTGCTGCAGCGGCCGTCTCGTCCCACCACAGCGACTCGGCATCGAGGGGGCAGCCGCAGAAGGCGCCGTCGCCGATCGTGGTGAGGCCGTCGGGCAGCGGCAGCGAGACGGTGGTGAGGGACTTGCAGCCGAAGAGTCGCCGATGGAGGCGAGGCTGTCCGCGGCAGCTGACCTCGGTGAGGGACGAGCAGCCTTCCAAGGCGTAGCCGCCGGATTGAGTCGAGGCCGCGCGTGACGGCGGTGAGGGACGACGGCAGTAGTAGGCAAAGGCGCCATCGCCGATCGAGGCGAGGCTGTCTGGCAGCGTGACGGCGGCGAGGGACGAGCAGTAGGCGAAAGGCGCCATCGCCAATCGAGGTGAGGCTGTCCGGCAGCGCGGTGATGGTGCCTGAGGCCGGAGCAGTCGTGGCACGAGCCTCCGAGTGAGCCTCCCGAGTCTGCCGCCGATGGACGCGAAGCGCCCGGTGGCGTGAGGCGAGTGAGGGCGTGTCGTCGGTCGGTCGAGGGGAGGCTGTCCGGCAGGCGTGGGTTACGGTCTTGTGCAGGGGGCAGCCAGGACGAGAGAACAGCAGCGGGTCTTGCAGACAGGACGAGAGCGAGAACAGGCGGTCCTGTGCCTGTGTGAGCTCGAGGCCGCGTCGCCTGAGCCGGCAGCCCGCGCGGGGGCGTGGGTTGCACTCTTGTGCAGGGAACGGAGACAGGAGAAGAGCATATTACAGAACATGAACACGCACCCAACACGGACTCAGACAGGACCCACGCAAAGCTCACGAGAAGAGCTCTATGCGAGCCGGCTCACGAGAAGAGCTCTATGCGAGCCGCCTCGCCCCTCCGCCTCGCTCACTCAGAGCGGTACGAGTCGAGGTACGAGTTGAGGAGGTCAGCCGACGGCAAAATGGCAGCGAACTCCTCCTCCGATACCGACGACTTGCAGGCAGCGAGGATCCAAGCGTGCTCTGCGTCGTTCGCCGCAAGGGCGGCCCGCGCGTCGAAGTAGTTGCGGAAGTGGGCAGGGTGGCCGACCACCGAATACCGGACGAAGCGCGACTTGCCGGAAACGCCCTTTTCGACCCACATGCCGGGCGGGGGGTTCTCCATCTGCCACTTGGTGGCGCGGCGCTTGCGGTCGTCAGCGATCGAAACAGA